TCCAACGCATGTATAAGGATGCGCGAGCAGAGATAAGTGTGCTAAAGGCGGAAAACAAGGAGCTGAAGCGGAAGGCCAGTTTTATGTTTCGATTTGGAGGGCCGCCATATGCTGCAGTGGAGGGGCAGGGAGTAGTGATCATGCCCAGTGGAGTGGGAAATACGGAGGCAACACCGGCAAGGGCCGTCCAAGACGGAGGCAAGAAGAAGAGACCTACAGCAGAGTAGAGAAGAAAAATCCCACTGTGCCGATTTGCGTTGGTTTGGTTTTTTTTTTTTTTTTTGGTATAAAATGGTGATCGGGGGGAGCCCCGACATGAATAAAATGAGTTTGGTGTGCAGTTCGTCTTCTTCGTCTGCTGTTTGTTTTTTTGTTTTTTTTTTTTTTTTGTGCAAAGAAATAATAATGAAAAAAAAGGTTTCGTGGCCCACGGTGTTGTGAAAACCTGCAATGGGTTTGGTATTTGTTTTTGTATATGTTTTTTTTTTTTTTTAATAATAATAATAAGAAAAAATTAATGGCGAAAACATGTGCCTCGGGGGATTGGAAAGTGAAAAAATGAGGGAGAGAAAGTGGGCAACATGATGAGGATAGTGGATGTTAATATATTATAATGGGTGGGTATAGTGCAAGTGGGTGTGTGTATCCACGGGTGATAGGAGAGAGAGAGACAATGGGGTTGGTGATGTAAAAAGGGGTGAAAAGAAAAAAAAAACTAAAGATATAAAAGAAGAAAAGTAAAAGGAGTTTGAAAAGAGAGAGAGAGTATGTGTGGAACAGGATCTGGTTGGCAATGGCTTTGGGTGGGACTTGGCCGGAGAGTCCCATGCCGGGGACGGGGAACTCAGTGACGCGGCCGGAGTCGCAGATGACGCTATGCGATCTTCGCGGAGGCGTAGGTCAAGAAATTTTGGTTGTCTCTTTGTCAAGAAATCGACTGGTCCAGTCTTGGAATCGTCAACAAGCACGGGGATTGTAACTCGAGTCCCTGCAAAGAAGTTGTTTTCTCTGCCTGACGATTCTTCAGGTACGGACACAGAACTAGAGCAAGCACCAAGATTGGGCAATCTTTGGAGCCCATCCCAGTTGCGGAGCACGGCAAAACATCAAGAACGTGTTTGCAAAGTAAGAATTAAAAACCATCAAGACATGCCACATGGCGTGACCCTGGGGATTGAAGGGCCAAAGCGATACCTCGTTGCAGAGTACACGATCAAACAGCCAACACAAACTACCAAGAAATAGAGTAACCGCATACAGCGTTGCAATACGCTTAGCAGAGACGTCCTGGGTATAAATGTAATACTTGTACATCCTGGGGATTCCCAAGAGGCAGAGAATTGCGTAATGAACTTTGAAGCCGAGGCTAAAACGGATCTGTGAATGGACAGCAGCGAAAAACAGTTTAGCAGGTCTTGTGTCTGCACAGAATGGAAGATGTGGATTCACGGGGACTCATACAGATCAGTAGGAGAGCAAGGTATGTGTAGAAAATTGATTAGGTGTAGGTCCGGCGGACGGCTAAGGTGAGGTTGCCGCCCGCCGGTGAAGCGAAAAATATTAGATTCTAAACCTGCTCTGATACCATGCAAAAAATATATGTATTATTGATTGATATATTGATTGATGTCTTACAAGATTATTTGATTACAATTCCTATACAATCTATATATAGAAGAAAATGTGGTAGTAGGTGTAGTGGAGGTGATAGTGGGTTAGGTGAAGTGGAGTGTGTGGTGAAGTGGAGGTAGGTGAAGTGGAGTGTGTAGTGGAGTAGGTGAAGGTAAAGATGGGAAATTCTAACACTGAATTGTGCAAATCAAACGTTAATAAGTATCTAGGTAAGCTTAGAAAGATGGCGAGACCTAAACTCGTTGATAGTAGCTGCTATTTCTGACACCTAACAGGGAAAGACAAGATAAGGTAAAGACACTCGAAAGATGCCAAACCAAAATAACCAAACTTCTGTAATGTTTTCGACTTTCCATAGCACATGCTAACAATTTCACAAGCAAAGCATCAACCAACAGCAGTAAATAGAGTATGTGTTGCTGCATTGCAGTTGGCGGATCCACAAGATCAGATCCAAATGCCTTCAGTTTTCAATGTGTTAACCGAGTCAAATGCGTTTGTGTGTGTGTGTGTGTCACATGAAAGTGAAATTATTTCATATAAAGCACAAAACACTTCAAAGAAGAAACAGCCGCTTCTGCTTTACATTCAGAGAACCAGCATGGACATAAAACAGGTGCTCAACAATGAAGATGGTGTACACTAATAATTGAATTGAAACTCAAAGGTAAGCACATAGCAAGTCACTAATTCAAATTAAAATATCCAATAAGATGCAATGCAATCATTAAGGTTGTAGCAAAAATAGATTAATCTTACAGTGATTTTATGGAATGTTAATCCAAATTTTGATCAATTGCATTGCATTCTAGCATAGCATGGTGAGTGACAAATTCAATGGATATAATATTCAGCTTCCTTATAAATGATTTGTTACAATCGGACTCCACACACTACATGCAACCAATTACTGATGCTCAGCAGATAAAAGATAATAGTTTTCATTAATACAAGTATGTATGTACCAAATACGAACAATATATAGCTCATGCAGTGAAAAATCTTATACAATTCAGTGTCATTGATATTGTTTTTTACCTGTGCAAGAACAGCAGCAGCTAGATATGAAAGTTTCAACTAAAACTCAAGATATGATATAAAAGCTTTTAAATTTGAACAAAAATTTGATCTTTACATTGATAATGCAAGATATATTAGTACTGATTAAAGATTATACACAAGTCAAACAAGAATAATGAGCTCCTAAAACATAAAATACAATTGTTAGATTAACCTATATGGCCAATTAGGCAGAGTGAAATAACTAATGGAAACAGTAACAGAAATGTACCGCTGTTGCTCCTGCTTTTTCCAAATGGAGGCCATGATCAACGTCATGAGCATGGACAAATGTCTTGACATTAGGGAGATACTTGCTCAATTCCCAAACTGTTCTATAGGTTGCACCGGGGGTATCTAAGGTTATTGCTGCTGCACATGCTCTTTCAGCACCAACTTTAAGGAGCACAGGGGGGCCAGGAATACAAGAAACTGGTCAGATAGTGAACCTGCACAAAGCATATTTAAGTTTGATCACAATTTTCTATACCTCTTGACTACCAGCATCTCCAAAATACACAGAAGATCAAGTGCACGGCCAACAGCTACTCGGTCACTGAAATGATGGAAAATCTAAAATCAGTTATCTGGATTCTGCTGTAAAATATTCTCACACACGTAACACATTATCAATAAGTCATGGACAAGGCAGAGAGCATGGATTTTTACATTTAACTTTTCTCTTTCCAATTTGCATCTATGCTAAATGTTCACATAGATGCTTCTGGGAATTTAAAGTAGACATAGAAAAACATGGAACCAAAGGCTGGATATTCACTTCAGAGACTTTGAGTTGAAATCAAACAGCAAATCGGTCCATTGTTTTTTTCTGTTTTTCTTAGCAAGAAACTAGATTTTATCATAAAAAATGGACATCATAAAAACACAAAGAAGGCATACCCCTAAGACAGAGTTACATGAAATTGGTCTTCAAACTGGCATAGATTACCCAAAAGGAACTAGCTAGAAAACTCACAGCCCAGACCCATATGACTATGATTTTCAGCAGAATATTCAATCAACAAGCTGTTCTCTCTCTAAGCCCCCAAAATTGACTTTATTCCAGGAAAATCAATTCACTGTGAGATGGAAGCATACCTTCTCACATCAAGAGCAACAAACGGAACAAGTCGTTCTGAAAGAAGCTGTGCAATGATCTGATAGAACCACAGAAGAAAGTACTACTCTTAGACAAAACATGATAAACATACATCCATACATAAACTATCTATCTTTTTTTGGGTAAGAATCCACAAATAAACTACATTAAAAATAGATCTACCATAACAAATGATTTTAGGGAGCACTTACTAATCAGTCTTATTAACTAAACTTATTTACTTACAAGCCTGACTGATAAATTTATCACTTCTTAAACTAATTCATCAAAAAAATTAAATAGTGACAACACCCGTCCTACACATCCAAATCCACAGATAATGATATGGTCCTGCAAATCATCTGTTTGAAAACAAGAAGCCAAGGAAATCAACAATCAATACATTTAGGGGATATTTCAGTGTAATGGCAACATCAACCCAATATCACAAACAGACAATGCATCCCATTGTCAGATGTATGGCTACACCAGTTCATTTTACACGATTTAAAATTATTGATTAAAGATTTAGTACATCCTTGGTACAGTTGGACATACTAGATTAAGGAGATTGGAATAGATTTAATAATGGATCATATCTTATGCAGATATTGCAAGACCTAACTTATTTTAGTGCACAGACTTTATGGCAGCCAGTAGTTATTCACCACCTTCATCCATCATCATCAAATATTTTTGCATGAACTTAAAATGGCAAGACTTCGAGAAGGAATTTAAACCCAAAATACCAACTGCAAGTGAGTCAGTGTTTACCATATATTTCTCAAATACACAAGCACAGCAGGTTTGTTGAAACCTAAGACCAAAACAAAGTTCACACACATGCACGGTTCAAAATTTAAAAAGGCTTCATGATGTTGATAGAGAGACTTTTGAGAGCACATCACAAATATTTCCCCACATTCTGGTGCAATAACTAATAAAAATGCTTATGATATATAGTTAGAATGATCACTAGAAAATCTAGGTTTCATTTTCCTAACCAAGCTGAGTTTGGAAAGCTAAGCTACCCGGTAAGCCAATCTTGATTGACAAATCATATCCATAACTAACATAGTACCCATAAACCACATATTATTATCTAGTGGAAAATAATAAATAAATAAAGGAATTGAATTCTGTAAACCACCAATATAAATGTTCACTCGGATCTCATAAAACTTGAAATTATGAATTCTACCTCACTCTCTACAGGTAACAAACTCCACACATCATCAAAACGAGAGGCTAGTAACTGGCCTCCAGCAGCTAACCATGGGGTAAGGGCCGTTGATACCCCAACCACAAGAAACAGCAAAGATGACATCTGAGAAGACATTATACCCAGCAGAAAAGGCCAATGAGCAAACAATTAGTTGTGCTAACAATACTAACGGTAATAGTTACCATTTATGTTGTTTTATTTTATTTATCTAGTGTGGGAATACCAGTCCTGCACAGTTTATTTATCTACTGTTATGTGTTGAAGTTCACAAAAAAAATATATATATATATATATTGTTGGAAAAGAGGAACCGAAAGGGGGAAAAAAGACCTAAAGGAATAAAATGATAGCATGAATTTAAGTCAATAATACTAGCTTCCCTGTCAATGCACCACCATAGATTTGCTTCAACTCCCATTCACAAAATCAAACTCTCAACAGCACTCCA